AAAAAAGCTGACGTCAAAGGAAACTTTACGTTAATAAGCGTAATTACAGCTATTTGTTTTATGTCAAAAAATTTATTAAAATTATATGTTTAATAAAAAAACAATGTTTTTAAATTGTAAATCAATTAAAATTTTTATTTAGCAGCAATAAATTTGCTGTACATCGAATTATTATTCTTTAGAAAACAATTTTGTATAATCTGACTGGCAATATATTACAATAGTTAAGAAAAGAGGCGAGCACTTTAATAATGTAATCTTGAAATTGCTTCATTTTAATATATCAAAAGAACACACACGAAGGATAATTTCTATTTACTAAATCAATGAAAAAAACAATTATTAATATTTATGAAAAGTTTGCTTGCAGTATGCAACAAAAAATGCAACGGAAAAATATGATAAATCTTTAGAGGAATACTTATTTTATTACTGGTTTTTGCAAGATCAAGTATCATCCAAATATGCGCTGTCAATCTTAACAAGTATACTTTAGCATTTTCTGATAAATAAGGATATTCATCACAATCGATTGTTGATTGAGTAAATATTGAAACGACGTCTGGATCAAACCTCGACGCAGTAATGTGAAGACATCAATATCACTCTAGAGTTCGAAGGAGATGATAAAAAATATGATAGCGAGCATTCTGAGAGCAAAAAAACCAAAGAAATCGAGTTTTATATATTTATTTTTCTAGAGCGATTGCTGGAGTTTATTTATTCTAATTAGTATTACCACATTTATTCTTTTTATAGACTTTATTTTATACTAAATGTTACTACGATAAAATTTGTTTATTGCATTTAATATTTATAATATTATAACTTTTAAGGTAATAACTTTTATTAGTATACTATCATTATAAAACTGTGTATAATATCTAGAAATATAAAAGAATCGATATAAATATGTATCATAAATTATTATAAATATGTATCATAAATTATTAAATAAATACAATATCTTAAGCAAATGCGATTAGAAATAATATATATATATATATATATACATTTATATACATATACTTGAATATAGTTTTTTTTAAATTGTATTTACTGTTTTAACTTAAATAATACAATATTAAAGTTACAAATTGCAAAAAAAACTATAAAAATAAAAATTTTGCTATGGATACAGTTAGTTGACAGATTTTTGAACAATCGAATTGTTATCTCTATATCGGCGCAGTTTTCGATGGAAGTCAAAAACGATCAAGCAAACATAATTCTATTTGCATGGTCTATGTTTGCTTTTCTTCGGGGCGTGAAAATGCGTCTATATTCTACGAAACGGAGGCAGAACAAAATAGAAGAGAGAGAAATATGAAATATTACTATTTATTTTAATTTATAAAAAGGACTAAATTTATTTCTAATCTAACCATTTGTAAAAAAAAAAACAAAATTATTATTTCTATTTTACCGCAAATTAAAGTAAGTAAATAAAAATTGGGAAGCGGAAATTCCCAAAGTAAGAGTATATGTATATACATATTATTCGTCATAAAACTGTTATTTTTTTTTCATTTATGAATCACAAAATATACGTACCAAGATATCTATGGTATCATTATACAGATTAAGATCTATCTAAGTCTAATTAAGAACAGATTCTTTCATAAAAATGACACCAATGGATTCAAGTTGTTAACAACTGAAGAAAGCGATATTCTTTTTGACTTCTTAGAACACGCAACAAATTCAGAGAAATCAATTTTTATTTAATTAGTTACGTTTTTTAATTATGATGCCAAATCTTATCGGATTGTTGACGAGATATGATGCAAAAAATCAACAAAACATAAATTATCGAATGATATATACACATCCTAGAATATAGGAAATGCAGTGTAAACAATATATTTAATTTAACTGCAATCTCATAAAAGATTAATTTGTAATCTTTAATCAATAAAAGACTATTGTACCCTGTATTAGTCAATTTTTATTGATCTTCGAATGTAGAAATATTTGAACGATAATTATCTGACTTATGACACTTGTAATTAGATAACAATTCGCAGAATTAAAAATACCTGGTTGACCCGCAATGTTTTCTTCATAAGCTGCAAATATACTGGATTTTGCTTTATAAGATATTCGATAAGAATGATAAAATTTATTATCTAATGATAACTCGATTTATCAGTGAGTTCAATGAGCATTATACTTCGAAGATCATTTATTTTCAAATTTTTAAAGAGTATTTTTACTCTTAAAATATTTTTTTTATCCGATAAATTTTCTTTGTGAAATATAACTTGTATGAATAATTATGTTGCTATAACGAACTGTGGAATATTATCAGCTATTTTATTTCAATTTTATCCTGTTGCTTCACATAATGTTTGAAGTAATATAAAAATATCTTTTAGATATAATAATTAAAACGAGGTGAAGGACAATAAGAGTCAATTCGTAAGTAAACAAGAAAGCGATTATAAAAAATATAATATGAATTTTAAAGAAAATTATTAATTATAATTACATCTTTTAGATATAATTATAATTAATATTTATTTATTTAGAAATTTAGGTATATTTATAACTAATATTTATTTTAAACGACACAAATGTCCTTATAATCATTCGAATAATTGCTAAAACTTATTGAGAACATTGCAAAGCGATATTTTTCATCCTATTAATTTAAAATAATTATATTATGCGTGAAGAGACCACATTATACATTCGCGCATCATCGATGCAATTTCAAAGTACCTTAACTCTCGAGAGGCGAATTTGCAAAGGAGAAAATTATGCAAACACATACGCAGTCCACTGTTTTATCCATACAAAGACTGGAATATCCCGAACAAACTTTCCCAGGGATTGTTTCTCAACGCTTCAGGATTGTCACAAGGTACCTATCGGGTTGTTACTGGAACTTTAAGCTTGCCATCGAGTATAATAGCGTTCGAGCTTCTTCATTATGCAGGCCAATCATGACTGCAACTTCCTTCAAGTCATCCGCCGTGTCAGCCTTTCAATTATACATATATGCGCTCTCCATTTGACGCAGTCTATAGTGTATTCCTACTACTTATAGTTATAGTATCATAGTGTCCCGTATTAAAAACTAACTGCAGGTATTGTAAAAATTGATATTAAAATGCAGAAATTAAATTATTAGAAGAATGGTGAAACAGTGATTTATATTGATTAAATAGATAATTATTTTATAGAATTTATTATAATTTTACGAATTGAAAAATGTATAATAAAATAATATATAAGGCAGCAATAGTAATTATTTAGTTTACGTAGATAGAATCGAACAATTTTTCTGCATAATCTCATTAATACTAGGAGAATGTGTATTAAAATTTAACAATAAATAAAACTATTTTTGAAAGAAATTGTTTTTTAATTTTAGAAATATAAAAACAAATCTTATAATAAAATGTTAATACGATCTTTATTGTAAAAGATTCGTCTTTGTTCTACAAAATAAACATTTGCAAAAGAGCAAATGAATTTAATTTATTAGAATACAGTCATATGTGTTCTTAATTAATTTTAATTATTATACTTTATCAAGACTTGCAAAATACTTCACTTTTCTTTTTTAAATGTTCCCTGTAAATAAGTTATATATGGAAACCTATCAGAGAGTCATAACTAGAGGCTAAATGTATGGTATCGCTTAGATTTCCAATATCAAGGTGTATAGGACGTAGGTAAACCTCAACGCAGCCTAAAGGCAAGACATGTAGCCTACGGCAATTATATGCAAATCTCACGAAGTTGTGCCTAAAACCTCAACACTGTCACCAACTAGCAGTCACCATCTCGATCAAACGAAGAATAATATGAGTAATATCTATCAATAAATCGCCACACAAAAGTCGATAAGTCTAATTCAAAGAAATAATGTGGATATTAAAGGCAAAAATTAAAAGAAAGGATATATCAGTTATAATAGATTCTTTAGATAAATCTTGGGAATCCCATTTGATAAGAAAGAAAAACGGAAATCTTTTCTAGATTACTTTCTTAATCCGACATATTCGACATTTTATACAGTTTATAGATAATTATCTGATATAGATACATTTTTCTCTTCCCATTTTTTCGCATTTTTTATTTTATACATACATCGCTGTGCTAATATAAAAATTAATCAATATTAACATTTAATATAATATTGTATTACAGATAGCGTAAGTATATTCTACTGTGGTCTGAAACTTGTTATCGCTATTGTCAGAGACACAAATATTATCTTATTACATGTCTGATCAAAGTTGATGATGATCTACTTACGACAGAGAGACTGTGAATAACAAATAATATAACAAGTACGCAGTAATTCCGAATAACATATATAGTCTTAAGACGGCGACGCACCGTAAACATTACTAAGCGTTGTTGTGCAATAAATTATTAAAAATATTACGTTACGGCAGTATCAATAGCATTAGAACTAGTATTTTATAGAACTACACGAATGTGACCTTACGTGCGCGTATGTGTATGTGTGCATGTGTCAATTACATCTATCTCATTGTCAAGTATATACATACGTGTATAACGTAAGGTTATACACGTTGATACCTCTTCACGAACTTTATGTAAGCGAAAGAAATTGGTTAAGAAGATTTCTATAAATCGATTGAGCAAATGTATGCTGATAGATTATCATGTCTAATCACTTTCTGTTTTTCTTGGCTACATTAGTTATTTTTGTCGCTTTAAGTCTAACGTTTGCACATGATAACGACGGCACGAATAAAAATGAAAATTTGAAGCATATTTCCCCACGGTATCGACTACCCAAAAAAATCGTTCCTGTATTTTATGATCTATCGATCTATACACATCCGATTGACGTGGATTACGATGGTCACGTACGGATCACCTTACAAGTACTCGAAAAAACAGATGTTATCGTGCTGCACACAGATGCATTAAAGATACAAACAAATGCATCTTTATTCGATAGATCGGGCCGGTTGACTCGGATTTTACATTACACCCATGACGAAGATACACAAATGCTTACGATTAAACTCGAGCGCTCACTAGACCCTGCGAAATATACATTAGAAGTATCCTTCAAAGGACGTATCGCAAATGATGTATTCGGCTTTTACGCAAGTCTATATGAAGTTGATGGAAGACTGAGGTAATATTTTGAGAGAAAACTGTTATACAAGGTGTTAAAAAAATTTACGAGTTAAAATACCATAGCAAGAAAACTTTTGGAAAAAAGTTATAAAAATATATGTTATTTGTTTTTTGAGCACAGTAATTTTTGAAACTTAAAGATTAAAACAATACAAAAAATTGAATAAAAACATAAAGGCTATTAAGAGTCAACGCTGTTAGCAGTGCGCAAAAATATAATTTTAAAATCTATAACATAGATATTATGTCGTAAAGATTAAATACTGGCCATTTATAGATTACGATGTGCTCGACTCACAAACGACCGTTTAATCGTAATTAACCGTAATATCTAGCCAATTTTACACTTCTATATCTCAAAAATATTTGTTTGATACGACAAATGATCAATATTCTTATAACTTATTTTTTCAAGAACTTTTTTGCTGTAGTATTTTGATTCGCGAATTTTAAGACATCCTATATATGTCATATTTTAAAGCGGCTAGGAAGAGTAATCGAAATAAAATCCGAATGTAATGAGAAGTTTATGTCAGAATATGCTGAGCATGAAACACTCTTTAAGATTTTTTAAATTGTGTATATATATTGTATATAATTTCGTATACTTTAATTATAATTTTATTGCTCATCATAAAGTCAATAAAAAGTTAGGAAGCCATCATTTAGATATATCTGTTTATAATGATGAGAACACTCTTCACTTATTGTAGTTTATTTTACACTGTTAATTATATTATATATTTTAGACGAATTGGTGTAACACAATTTTCGCCCACATACGCACGTCGTGCATTCCCTTGTATGGACGAGCCTTATTTAAAAGCGGAATTTCAATTGCATATTGGCCACCATAAGGATCAAAAGGCGACGAGTAATACTCCAGTGGAATCTATACGAATAGAGTTAGTATATAACTTCTCCAATCGTATCAAATTAAAAACACATACAAAAATATTCGTAAAATAGCAAACAAAAGCAAATAGTTTTACTATTGTAATCGTAACATTGATTATAGAAATGATACGTACTGCGTGACGACATTTCACCGTACACCACGAATGTCCACGTATTTGGTAGGATGGACAGTACACAAGTTTGTCCCAGAACGATCAAGAATTTCGGAGGACTTCAAGATGTGGACAAGAGACTCCATGAAGTTTCGTGGATCAATAGCCTTGAATCGCGGTTGGACGGTCTACTCGGCGTTACAGACATGGTTATTAGTAAAAAGTCCGCTCGTGAAGGTCGATCAATTTGCGATACCGGATTTCAATTTCAATGCAATGGAGAATTGGGGCCTCATCACTTACAGAGAATCTGTAGTGTTGCATGAGGATGGAACTCCGACAAAAAAAGTCGTGAATGGACTGTCAGTGATGACTCACGAGTATGCTCACAGTTGGTTTGGCAATCTGGTAACACCCGCATTCTGGGACGTCGTCTGGTTGAAGGAGGGCTTTGCCACGTATTTTCAATATTTTGGCGTTTCCTTAGCAGAATCGGATTTGAGAATGATGAATGTATTCGCAGTAGATTGCTTGCAGCCGACACTACTCGCAGATTCCGACAATCATACACGCACATTAAATGGTCAAGAGGTCGGGGATCGTAACAGCATTATGGCTACGTTAGACTTTGTCTCCTATGGGAAAGGTACAGTATAAAATATGCAAGACTATTTATTTCAGTATTTTATATTACGTAAGTTCAATAATATTTACATTGAAGAGATGTTTCTACACATATTGATAGAAATAATAATTTTTAAACCTTTCACATAATAATTTTAATTCAAGTAATTTATAATTATATATTTCTAAACAGAATACAATAAATAGATGTAGGAATTTTGCTACATTTTATTAATAAATATACATGACTGATATTCGCGCTCACCTTTGATCGCTTATGAATGCTGCGTCACTTATTTCTTACATAATCCGTTAATCACCGTATCACTGTAAATATCTGTAACAATCTTGCAAAATAGATAGGATTATCTTTCGATCATGTGATAATTTAGAGAGATCCTCAAAAATTATTATTTATTTAAATCAAACATATAATAAATCTACAATTAATCATTGGATTTAATTTTCAACATCTTTATCTTTAATATTGTATGTTGTTCTTGTTTGTGCATATTAACAATTTTATAAGAATTATAATTAATTATTTACATTGCTACTACATTTTTAAAATTTTAATTTAAAAAAGCGATTACAGGAAATTATTAAAACTTGTGATTTTAAGTCTATGGTTTATGTTACCCTTAAAATTACACGTGTACAAAGCTAATCATGTTATCTTAACATAATTTTTTTATTTAAATATTAATTTTAACAAAATTAATAATAATAATTTTAATAATATTAAATAATATTAATGCAAGTACACAATACGTATACAAGATATTTTCTTCTTACTTTAGCCTTTAATCTTTTATTAAATAATTTTTAATCTAACAGAATATAACAATATTTTTACATAAGATTGACTAAGATGCTAAACTTATAATAATAAAATCTATAAAATAAAAAATAGAAAAAATCATTTGAGTCAAAAATTAATTATAATTTATGTTTACTCAAATTTATGAAACGTAGAGATTTAGCTTCTGAAAGACTCACATAACTCACCATAAAATATTAAAAAAGATTGTAACATATTATATTGTTTTCAGGTGCCTCCGTAATTCGTATGATCAGTCATATCATCGGAAGCACAGCATTTCAATTAGGATTACAAAATTATTTGCGCGAGTTGTAGGTATATTATATAATACGTACAAAACATTTCTAAATTTTTATCGATGTTTTTTCAACATAAATAACATTATTATTGTAATGCATGCAGTTACTTTATTTTTTTAAAATAACAACAGTTTTACTTTTTGTAGTTAACATTGTTTCTATCACAAAAATTTATTTTTATTATTAGGTCATATGAAGCAGCCACTCCATTCGACTTGTATCGACACTTGCAAACTGCATCAAATATAACAAGGCATTTGTACAAAAGCATATCTATAAAAGACGTCGTAGAATCTTGGGCAAATCAGCCAGGATATCCTTTAGTGATCATTACGCGAAACAACAAGACGAAAAATCTGTTTGCCTCGCAAGAACGATTTTATCTAAATCATGAGGCACAAACAAATTTCGAAAAATCGAGTTGGTGGATACCATTAACCTTCATTACCGAAGACTCGAATTCCACATTTGATCGAACTACTACGACTACTTGGTTGAAGCCACAAGCCAAAAACACGCTAATCGGCTCTGTAAAATCGAACTCGTGGGTGATTTTTAATATTCAGCAAGTTGGATATTATAGAGTTAATTATGACAAAAATAACTGGCAAACACTTATCCGTTACTTGAAGTTAAAGAATTTAAAAAAAATACATGTGATAAATAGGGCTGCACTTTTAGATGATGCTTTTAATTTAGCTAGAGCCGGTTATGTGGATTATTCCATTCCATTTGATCTCGCGACATATCTTATTCGTGAAACCGAATACGAACCGTGGGTTGCTGCGGTAAATAACTTCAATTTTCTCAATCATATTTTAGCTTGCTCACCGCGAGTACAACGTCTGTTTCAGGTAAGGTTATTCTTCTATATAAGCACCAAATTGATTTCAAAATTTAACTTATTAATTATTTAAAAAATATGTCACAAATAAAAATTCTAATTGTACTAAAAAAATTGTTATCATCACGAACGATTAAACTATAAAATTTGATGATATTTCTTTTAATTTTTTGATATCTTTTATATTATATTGTTTCAATATATAATTTGCAGAACTATGCAAATAACTTACTTAAACCGATGTATAATCTATTAAGTTTTATGGAAAGTTCCATGGACAGTTCAATAAAGAAAATGCATCGCGAATTGATTCTGTCTACTGCGTGCTCAATTAATAATATTCACTGTTTAAAGACATCAAAAATTTTATTTAAAACGTGGATTTTGTCTGAGGAAAGGTATGATTAATTATAATAGCAAAAAATTGTAAAACCAATATACAATTATACATATATATTTGCAATATTAATATTTTATATTAAAATTTGAATATTTCCAAATTTTAAAAGGCAATCTTGTCAATTGTTTCATTTATGTTTTTAATATGTACTTCATCTTTCGATAAATATTTTCGTGTAATATACTAATACATTTTATCTTTAAGAAAAATAACTAATTTTAGTTAACACAATATATTATTTATATATTTATTAATATATTTATATATTTTCACAACATTTTTTTATGTATATATATAGCTTAATATCAGCAAATCTTAAGAGCTTTGTGTATTGCGTGGGTGTTCGAGCAGGTGATGATAATGTTTGGCAAACAGTTTGGAACAGATTTCTGCGCACTGACTTACATGCAGAACAGGAACTCCTGCTGAGTGCACTCGGATGTACTAAAATTCCTCACTTAATCGACAGGTGAATTCTAAGAAATGGATCACACAGATAAACGCGTTTACAATCAGATATTAAATTTGTCACTTTTCAGATACCTCAATGCGTCTATAATGTATGAACTCAAACTTCGTAAACAATACAGAATGACAATAATTAACGCCGTTTTGAACGGCAATCCCGAAAATGTTAATTATGCCATTGATTTTATTTATCATAATTTGCCTATTATTCTTAAATCGTATGTATTATACATTTTTATTTTCATTATATTTTTATTATATAACTTTACATCTCTTATTTACTTTATTACAACAGAGTATCCCAATCGAAACTTTTTATTTAAGAGCCAAGATAGTATTGTTATTTATTACGTTTTTGTTATAACAGCAAATATTTGACTGTGCGCACCATTTCCATCGAAAAAGTTTTTGATCGGAAAATAGATTTTTATGAAAAAAATATTAAACTCAATCAAACTTTTTGTTTTACTTTTTATTAATTAAATATGACTACAAAATAGAAATATAATGGTTATTTGTTTGAAATAAAATCTTATATTTATAAAACAGTTCTTGCAATATCTTATCTTACACTTTTACAGAAGAGGCATAGATTTTTTAACCAAAATGCTCATTGCTATAGGCAATAAAATTATTACGAAGACCCAATTAAACAAGGTATATTTTATATATTATATAATTTAATATATAAATCACTTCTCTTATATTTTAATAAAGCTCAGATTTACTGTATTATAGCTTCGCTCATTTGTTGATGAGAACATCGAAAATCTAGGATCAGCGTTGAATTCAGCAAAAAAAGCCATAAATGCTTCTACTTTATCCTTAGCATGGATCGATAAATTTTTACCTACAATTGAAAAAATATTGTTAACCAGTTACTTAAAAATATAATATATATATATATATATATAATATATACATATATGTGTGTATAATATGTGTTTTATAACAATACATTATATAACTATGTATATATGTAGAGTATCTTAATGTACATTGTATCTGTAATCAAATCTACGTATATTTGAAAATAAAGAGACTTTAAACTTAAAGGTTTATTATGCGACCCTGTACAAGCATTGTTCCTTTTAAAAGGAATTGAGTGTATAAGATATGTTATTTGTGCAAAAAAAATTAATTAAAATTTGTTATTAATTGCCCAAGTGATGTAAGAAACGTGTTTTAGAATAGAATTATCAAGAATTATCAGATTATTCTAAGATTTTGGTTTCTTTTCTACAAAAATTGATTTATAGAAATAGTAATACATATAAACATTTTATGAACTATTTTGGTCTTTATTTTATACACAATCATATTTAGCATTGATTCGTTACATACATTTGTTCCCAAGTGTGTTACAATATATTTTATGATAAAATTATGCTTTAGACAAAAACTACGTTTTTTCCGTATATATATAATATGTAATTCATATTTAATAATAACTCTATTTCTTATATTTATATTTATTATATATTACATTTATGTATATTTTTATTAACGCTATAAAAATACATACTTAACATAATAAAAATGTTTGCGTTACCTTAAAATTATATATTTTTTCCCTATCTGTCATAATGTATGTATGCTTATGGACTTGATATCCTAAATGATATCATTAATTTATTTTTATCTCGGTTGTACAAATATACTATAGATAATAGAAAATAAAGCTAGGGTATCATTTTATTTTATGAAAATACATTTTTTTATATACAATTATTTTGTATACATTATATGTGTGTATTTTATATTTGTATTAAAGATAAATAAATTAAATATTTAATTAATAATAATAATTTTACTAAATAGTATAAAAATTGCTGAATTCTACAAAAAAAATTTATAAAACGTAAATTTTATTTATTACTCGGCTTATTGACCAAAAGTTTAATTAAAATTTGCATTTTAACTTTGGTAACAGAAAAATGGCTACAGAAAATTAGGAAAAAAACAAAATTCATAAATATTTTCAGTTAACATACAGTTTTACTTACAAGCGAGATTTGATTTGCAATATAAAAGTAAAAATTTACAGTTGTGATACAAACTCTTCATAAATCAATACAATGTGTTGCTTAAGCAGTACCATTCGATATGTTCTAAAAGATATGATAAAAAAAGTTAGATTCTGGTGATATCTTTGACTGGGTCTGCCATTGATTGGTCAGATAATACTATATTTTAGTTATCGCGTTATCAGCGGTGTCGGTGCTGTCCCGGAAATTTTGCGATTTGTGTTCGGGATGATCCACTTACCTTTCTTACTTCGAAGAGTAATAATACTTTTGGCTTGAAAAGAGCCAGACGATAAGATTAGAAGTGGCAGCGAAATTTTTTTTAACATTCTATGGTCACGGCCTTATAAAGCTCGAAGTTTTGACCAAGTATAGTCTTTTGATTAATCTCGCCTTTGCGGAGACGAGGAATCGACCCGCACGGCACTTCATCTTTAACCATAAGGTACGTCATTAATTATTATTTATTGTTTTTTCTCTCTTGTGAAACAATTAATTATTATAAACATAAATAATATTTTTATTAATAAAAATACAATGCATATTCTTATCGAAAAATTACATATTTTTTGTACAGCAACATTCATTGTATAATTTATTGATGTAACTTCTTCCTCTCTAAATTTATATTCTTTTTTATTATTATTAACTTCTTGATTTAATTAAACAAAACAAAAATAAATATTAAATTATATATAAATTTTAAAACTTTTTCATTTATTACATAAATATTAATTAAAATATTCTAAAAATATTGTTGCAAGATGACGAAAATTAATAATTAAATATTTTTATTAAATATTTAATTATTTTTTTTTAGATTCATTTGTATAAACTATCGTGTACTTTGTGCATAATACTCGACTGTGTTTTAATTGTATTACACAACGAAAATTAATTAAATTGATGTTTTTACGCAACATTTTTCTGCCAGGTACAATGTTAACGATGAAATGGCTACCATTGATGTTTGTCCTAGCAGTTTGCTGGGCGAGCGATCCTATTTCCGATGATGTGGCTCCTCAACTTCTTGAAGAAATTTCAGATAATTATAGATTGCCGCTAGATGTTGTACCTTCCGAATATAATATCGCATTGCAGCCGATTTTTGAGTCACCTAATAATAATTTTACTTTCAAAGGAGAATCTGTGATCACTCTCAATATTATAAAAGAAACAAATACTATAACTTTCCATGCTAAGGAAATTGATATCATTAAGAATAGTATTAAATTAACATATAAAAATAAAAACGAAAGTATAACTGTTGATTCATCAGATATACAGTTTAAGGAAGATATAAATAAGGACTTCGTAACGCTCGTTTTTAACAAGCCTATTCCTATAACAACAAATGCAAATCTGTTTTTGCATTATACTGGAAAGTTAAATGATAAATTACGTGGATTCTACAGAAGTTCTTACCAGAATAAGGAAGGAAAGAAGATGTAAGGCAGCAATTAAATTTCTATTAAAATTTTTACTAGAAATTGTTGAATTAAAACAAATATTTTTATATTATATTTATATAAACTTTGTAGAACTTAATATATTATTAAAAACTATTCTTATGTTATCAATTGTAGTTTTAATGCTTAAATAAGTTATTTAAAAAAAGGGGTTACCATTTCATAATTAAAACATGGTTTTGCTTCGTTTGTAAATATTCCAAGAATAATTCTAAATAATAATATATTATAAGAACTGAATAATTAATTTGTTTTTGAACTAAAATTATAATATTTCTTAAACAATATTTTTTAACAATACTTTTTAAAATAAACGATTTTATTTTAATAAATGTATGAAAAACGTAGAAAATCACTTATAATAATATAATCAATTATATGTTACAGATGGCTCGCAACGACTCATTTTGAACCAGTAAGCGCAAGATTGGCTTTCCCATGTTGGGACGAACCACAATTTAAAGCACATTTTACTATTACCATTACAGTTCCTCAAAATTACAAAGCGATTTCGAATATGCCTCCAGAAAAACCTAATAATGTAAAGATTACTTTCAAGAAGACACCAAAAATGTCTACTTATCTTGTGGCTTTTGTAGTTTCGGATTTCACGACTCTGCAAAACAATAATGGAAATTTTAATGTTTTGGCGAAACCTACAGTAGAGCAAAGCACTAAAGAATTCGCATTAAAATATGGATTAGAAACGTTACAGGCACTAAAAGATTTTACCAACATTGATTATTATGGAGGAGGAGAAATGCTCAAGCTGGATCAAATTGCAATACCAGACTTCGCGGCAGGTGCTATGGAAAATTGGGGTCTTGTGACGTACAGGTAATGTCAGTTGAAAATCATTAAACATAGAACGATCAAAGTTCAAATTTTTCAATTAATTTTTATTTAATTTTTTTATTAATACAAAATTTGATTTTTTATATATATTTCAAATACTTATAATTTATCTAATCAATATATCTATCTATATAATCTATCTGTTAAAAATTATCTCCAAAGAACAATATTATTAGTGCATTAAAAAAAATGTAACATATCGTTTCTTTTTTTAGAGAATCTCGACTTCTCTATATAGAGAATAAAACAACCACGGAAGAGAAGCAAGCTATAGCGACAGTAATAGCACACGAACTCTCTCATCAGTGGTTTGGTAACTTAGTTACTTGCAAATGGTGGAATCATATTTGGCTAAATGAAGGATTTGCTACCTTTTTCCAATATTATATTACCGATAAAGTTGTTCCACAACTGGTAAATATAAAAAATACTAAGTACTTTAAATTTTAAATTATATTATAATAACAATTTGTTGTACACTAAAGAATTAAAAAATAGCTATTAAGTATTTCTTATATACATTTCCGTTAGTAAAAATATAATTTATTATACCATTAACATTTTCCTATACTGAAAGTGTACAAAAAGCTCGTTGACACTTAAAAAGATTTTTACTATATGAATTATATAATAGTATCACTTTCCATGATAAAACTTTCAGCTGAATTAATTTAAATTACAGTATAAAGAGTCTTGGCGTCTTATGGAACAATTTATTATTAAAAATGTGCAAGCATCATCATTCGTTGTTGATGCAAGTAGTAAAACTCGCGCATTAAATCCAAAAATTGTTATACAAACTCCTACTCAAATTGGAAGTTTGTTCGACGATATTGCCTACAAAAAAGGTAAATCAATCTTTTCTTTTCTTACGAAAATGCAACGAAAATTTTCTAATTTATGTTTATGCATCTTTGTAGGTGCTTCTATTCTTTGTATGATGCAAGGATTCTTATCGGAAAATGTTTTTCGAGAAGGACTTAGGAAATATCTAAATATTTAGTGAGTTTATTAATTATTCATATTTATATTCACATACTAGCAGAGAAAGTATTTTCTTAAACATTTATATTATATAAGTACTGAATAACACAAACTACAATTGTGCATAGCATTTAATCACGATAAAATAATACGTATAAAATAATTATACAATTTCATAATTTTAGTAAGGGCAAATCCGTTGAGTCTGACGATTTCTTCGAATCTGTCCAAAATTCCAATGATAAGAAATTGGAAGAATTTTTGCCAAAAAATACTACACTTAAACAAGTTATGAAAAATTGGATTGATGAACCTGGATATCCTGTCATTACCGTCACGTGGAATAAGAATTTATCTGGTGTTGTTAGTATAACGCAGGAACGATTCTTCTTGGTGAAACCAGTGAAAGTAGATAAAACTCAGTGGTATATACCCATCAACTATGTAACAGAAGAGTCGCCCGAAGAAGTGATGCCCACGGATAAAAAATCTCGCTGGTTGATACCCGGAACAAGTACATCATTAGACAAATTAAACAATACGAAATGGATACTTTTCAATAAGAATCAAACAGGTATGTGTATATTGATCATTGCTATAACCTTTACATTCATTGCAATGCTAATGATGTCTGCACTTATTGATCTATTTGATTATTTGACATAAAGATTAAATCTTTTATATATAAAACACAAAATTGTATATAAATATAAAACAAATAATATGATTAATTTATTATTAATTTATTACTAAATTAATATTACTGGATTTAGCCTTTTTTTTATCATAATTATGTATACGAGAAAAAATTTATCGTAAAAATTAAATGTTTTAAATATGGCACAAAAATATAAAATAATATTATTTACAGGTTTCTATCGTGTAAATTATGACGATTCAAATTGGCAAAAGCTAGCGTCGTACTTAAAATCACCTTATTATGCTAATATAAGCACAACCAACCGCGCCCAATTAATTGATGATGCATTAAATCTCGCGCGTTCAGGACACTTGGCATATAAAACTGCATTGCAGATCACATCGTATCTGTCAAATGAGACTGATTATATTCCATGGTATGCCGCTGTCAGATCATTTAATTATCTGGATAGTGTATTAGTAGGTGGAAAGAACTACACAGAATATCACGTGAGTTGAATAAGAAGAAATACCATGTCATAAATTCAGATGCGTGTTTTGATACCAAAAAATGAGAAACATGTACAAGAGTTTTAACGCATCATTTAATTTCAGAAATATGTCGCTGAAAAGATAAAACCTTTTGCATTAAAAGTCAACTACAAAGATTGGGAAAACGGTACACATGTAGATAAACTTGCCAAAGTGTTGGCACTAAATGCAGCTTGTAAATACGGATTAGAAGACTGCAATAACTTTGTTAATAAGAAGCTTACAGATTGGTTAGATAATAAGAAGAAAGAAGATGAGAAGAAGTAAGTCCTAGAGCTTACTGTAGTTTTATAAACTCACAATTACAACTCATTATACCTAAATAATAAATAATTTTTATTAATATCATTTTTGCATCGTCTATGAATTCATCGTACAGTCTATAGAATATATTAAACAACACGATGCAAATACATTATATGTTTTAATTATTAAAATCTGAAACTTTTGTAAATATCTTTGAACTTAAAAATTCTCCGTTACAAAATACGCTTACATACAAACATAAAAGTAATATCGATTTCTTGTTAACATCAAGTGATATTGTACGTATCTAATCTATAGAAACTGTGTTAACTGTATTGACCATGATATTTCCAGACTCTTGCCAGACTTAAGACGTGGAATTCTTTGCGCCGGATTGCGAAATGCAAGCGCACAAATATGGAACGAGGCTCTACAAAAGTACAAAACCACTAAAGATAAAGATGAAAAGGCTGACATTCTGGCCGGTCTTGGTTGCGCCACATCCAAGGAAATTGTCCAGAAATTCCTCGCGTTAACTGTCGAGAAGGATTCCCACGTCGATATTTTTGCTGTGGTGAATTCGATATATGCGGGTAATGCCGAATCCTTCGACATCCTCGTAGAGTTCATCAACGATAATATTGAAACGATTCGTAAGACGTAAGTTGCTTTTTATTTCTTGCTTTAATAATGTACATGCACCATAAACAAATTGAAAATGTAATAATTTCTTTACAGAGATAAAGATGACTCTTTGCTGAGTGCCCTTCTTAATAAACTTTCGAACGGAGTTGTAACAACAGAGCAATATATAAAGGTAAATATATCATTAATCTCTTTCTTATTCAATCTTTTATAATAACTTATATACTTTTATAATAAATTTATAATAATAAATTTGTATTAAAATAAAGAGAATAAAGCATGCATTGAAAAAAAGATATATTCCTTCAGATTTAACATTTATATCGCAAATATTATATACATGCATAAATTGATGATTTTAGCAATGTAATTTAATTAATATTTCTCTGTGAAAAACTAACATTAGATAATTTATATTCAATGTTACACTGTTTCAAATTTGAACATTTTTTTAACTACGTGATTGAATGACATATGCGGATACATATCAGATTGCGATAACATATCTTTTGTGTAACTAAATTTTAGTAATTAGAACCTACGAAACATTCCATTTCTATCTCGTGCTCGATCGCGCGCTTATATCTTATCTCAGAGTAGACTGATTGAATATTTCACAATTGCGAAATATTGCGTCTCCAAAATTTAATTGCCATCAACTACATTGTTGAAAAATTCAATAATCTAATAATATCGATAAAAATAGTACAAATAATTCTAAAAAAAAATTTAATATCATTATTTTTATATTTTAGTTATCGCTGCTCATACATGGGCAACTGCAAGACGCGCAGAAGCTTGAAGCATTATCTGTCGCTATACACAAACTTATCTGGATCAAAACCTATCGGGACGATGTTGAGAAATGGATAGTAAACAATTGTGAAGTTTGCCAAGACGGAAATGGGCCAGACGAGCCAGACTCTGCAAGTTCCATTACTTTGACGTTGCTCCTTCCGATTATTTCATTGTTACTTACACGATTCTATTGAAAAGTGAAATTTATTGTTATGTAATATTTTCATTTAATTAAAGAAATGCTGGAATTGTGTTACCGATAAAACTAGCGTTTTGACGTTTTCGTTCATTACAGATTTTTTTATCCAGCATTTTTATCTTCTACGTGGATCGCCATACTGAAGTTAAATGGATAAATCTGTAATTTCTAACTTTGTACACAAAATACACCAGAGACAGATATATTAGCATGAATATTTAAATCGTGGAGAAGGAATTTTTATTCTACGAAGAAATTAGACAGGAACGAAAACGTCAAAAATACTAGTCTTATCAGTAATACAGGCGGCTCCAGCATCCCTTTAATTTCCAACTCAATCATATATTTTCTCAATAAATTCGGACTGATGTATAAAACTTTTCCGACTCTTTTAACAAGATTCATTTGTTAAAACATTATGGGCTCAGGCAGACGAGCGATTTTGTACATGAGAAGGAGATAAAATTGTGCGCATAGAAGATACTACAGATGCGCATTATGCATTTTTTCTGAATTTCTCATAATAATTTAAAATTACAACAATTTTATTGTAAATGCGCGTTTGTCATAATTTATAAGGCATCGAAGATGATTTTGGTAATGCTTTAATAAGCTAAATAACATCATAACGTTTAACAAATTATAAATGAAAGATCAAATGCGTCCTACGAAAACTTAACACTGTATAATTAATATTATACTGAAAAGTTATTAAGACGTAAAATATAGTTACATAATTATGTGTATATGGTATGATTGTAAATATACTGATTGCTATTTATACCACTAGACAATAGTTTATTTAATTTATGATTATTTATAATTAAAATAAAGAAAAAAGGTACAAACATTAATTTTTTCCGTCAAATTTTAAGAAAGATAATTAAAATGTTCACAGAGAGATTATATTTATAAAATTACATAAGGAAGTTTTTTGATCGTGATCGACTGATTATTTTAAACCTTTTATAGCATTACACACATACACTTTGCCAAATTACAAAATATATTTAATAAAAGATATAATTATTTGAGTAATTACGTATAATTTGAAAGGTTGTCAATAAAAAGTACATTCCTAGTGTAATTATGATTTTTATTATTACATATAAATATTCGTAAAAATTTTATATAGATTGAATATTATTAAAATAGTCATAATAATAAAATAAGTTTCGTGTAAAAAAATTTTTTACGTTAAAAAATACACAATAAAAATAATTTATATTCTTCTGTATTTAAAAATTATGTGTGACATAACTCATCGTTTCATAATACGAGACATAGGTCAATCATGTAAATTATTCATGTCTTTAGACACGTTTGGAATAACAATGGGTATTCGTCGAATCCGATCGTCATACGAAGTATTCTTACCGAATGTTATAAAAGAAGACTAGAGCCATTTCATTTCACAAGTGGAGGCACTTTACTATCCAGTAGGAAGATATACTTAGTTGCAACGTTTCGCTTGATTTTGGCAATTATATTCACGTAAATATACATTAAGTAGAAAGGTAATATTCATCGTATACATTGACAACAATGAGAAACTTACAACCACGGTTGCCAGTTCTCCGGTTTTCTGCTAGAGACTTTTCGATTTTTGAGACCAATCTTTGATTCTTCGGCAAACGGAAAAAAATCGCCGATTTTTCGCTCTCAAAAAATTTCGGTAATATTTTTGTGCAATTAATAACAAAAGTTTAAAAAAACGTTTAATAAAAAAAATAAATATAGAGGAAATAATATGTTATTTTACAAAATATAATTATTACGTTTAATATTACAAATGTTTATTTTAAAATAATATCATTTGTAGTAAAAATAATATTAAACATATGATAAAAGGCAAGAAAACCAAAGAAGTAACGATTATAATAAGATATATTCTTTTTTTAAGTCTTATGTTCATTACGTTGTAGCGTTATATTGTCTCTTGTGTTGTAGCAGTGCGATGTACAGTACAAAATTAAGGTTATTAAAGTTAATGTGTAAAAGATGAGTACATATTCCAAAGGTTGCGTGTTTGCAATAATTGAAACTAAACCGATGAGAACATGCCGTAACGTCAAGCTGGATCTTGGATGCTTCTAATATATAATTTCGTATGAATTTATATACTACGTATATAAATTCTTAAATGCGCGCTGAAATTTTTTCAGACTTACAACGTAAACTCTAATAAACTATCGCAGTACTATTACGAGTTAAATTGACTAACAATCTAACAATTTTGATGCTCGTAGCATCTTGGATCTTAATAATGTTGAATGACATATTAAAATCTATGAATAACATATTAAAAATCTGTAAATAATTAATTTACTAATTTAATGTAAATAATTGAAATTGTTTTATGCAAGGAAAAAAGTATATATACAATACAATTACACAAAGGAAATAAATTTGTTTAACAATAAACCGTCAAGCATTGCGCGAAGAAGACCTTCTTTTTTTATAGAAGTTAGCACCGATCTTCGGCTGAACAATCAAATCGTCGGCGCATTCAGTGACAGTCAGTGGTCGGCATTTGGCAACCGTGATTACAACGCGAGAATTATCCCGTTAACATTTCGTGAAGCCATCGATAATTATTACGAATTCATATTTAAATATCGATGTATATTCTTGATAAGCACGATATTATTGTATTGACGTGTATCTAAACACAGGATTTTCTATAATATATAGTGCATATAACTAAAAAAATATTCTTATTGTGTTCAACCAAACGATCATTTCTGGCTAGGTAATATAAATAAAAAATTATTTATTTATTTAAAATTTTTACATACATGTTTGTGTTATTAATTTTAAGATAATTTCTATATTCTTCTTTTTAATTAAAAACGAATTCAAATAATAGCTGCATAAAATTTATATCAATAATATTTATATACAAATTCTGTTCCTTAAAACTCAATTTATTGAAATATGATAATTGGAAGTAATATTCGAATAATATTTGTACAGATATTTGAAAAAAATTCGCATGGCGTTTCTAAAAGTATTATTAAATGTTGGGTTAATATTCATCGCTGCAACGACTGTTTCTGTTGATGGAGATTCAGAGAATGATGACTTGAATACGACAGTCAATTACCGTTTACCAGACAACGTAGTACCAGTGCACTACAATATCGGACTTATACCGTATATTGAAGAGAGTAATTTTACCTTTGATGGTAAATCCAATATCATCATCGAGATTCGTCGTGCAACGCGGGACATAAGTTTACATGCATTGGATTTAATAATAAATGAAACAGCAACATTACTGATAAACAGCGATACCGATATTTATGCACCGGAGGTGCATAATTATGATAACGAAACAGAAATCTTGACCCTTCATTTCGATGATGAACTATTCCCTGGAATTTATAGTTTATATATACAATTCACCGGTATTCTAAACGACGATTTGCATGGTTTCTTCAGAACATCGTACATCAATGAGAATGGAGAAAACGTGTAAGTACAAAAATGTTAAATATTAAAATTTCGAAGATATTTTTAATTATTATACATTATTCTCATATTATATAATTTATTAAAATTATCCATTCGTTTACTTATTTTTGCACAATCGTTATTATAATATATGTCAAAATTTTTAATTTATGTAGAACTTATAAAGAGAGAACATCATTATTAATTGAATATTTTCTCTAAATGTATAATTATATATTATTAGATATATATATGTATACATTTTACATCTCTTCTAAATTTATAGTAAAATATTTTTATACGTTTTTAAAACAAAATTTTATCTAAAATATTTTTCTAAACATTTATAATAAAAATGTAAATTTAGATTGTAGTCGAAAATTTGATTTTAAAAA